GTTGACCTTTTGCCAGACACAAATGTGGCTTGAATAGCACTGAACTATTATTAGCACATTTATTAACCCAACTCCAGCAAGAAATCCAGCAACCTCCTTCAGCCCCACCTGCTGTTGCACACATCGATTGGCCATCCACGGGAAGCACAGCCCTGGCAAAAAAACCACCAAGATAGATGGTAAGAGAGGTCTGCTTTGGGATTTCAAATTTTGAGTGAGAGCAATTGTAGCAGAAAAAGGTAAATTCTTCCCCCCTCCATTGTTAAAAGGATTATTAAAGACATAATGAATGTTCATCAAACGAATTTTAAGGCTCTGCTGTTGTTCCCCCTCTGCGCATCACCTCATGTGCATTCCTGAGAAGTGATACAACAGTCGCAACAGCAATGTCAAGCAAACAAGGCTGTAGAGAAGCAGGACAAAAAGTTGGTTACTATCAGCAACAGCAAAAAATGACTTCATTAGTGGTCAGAGTTATTCTTCATATTCGTGTGAGGTTGCACTATCTCATATTCTCACTCACAAACATGAGAGTGGTGAGACAAGTTTTATTTCAAATAAGACCAGCACTGCTTGATCCTCAGGAGCAGGGGGTCTCCGAAATCCCTAGCAACAGCTGCAAATCTGCAGCAGAAGCAGCAGCAAGAAAATTATGGCCAACTTTTACAGTAGCCCTAGTCAACTCACATCTCAGATGGAGTATTTCTGGCCTTTAGCTTTTTACGGGAAAAAAAATCAACAAGTATCTCCTGCAGTCACCACCATATGTCAGGCAGATTAGCAAAGCAGCTAGTGTCTTTTTCTTGTTTTCCTGAAGGTAAGGTGAAAGGTTTATAACCCACTGCTACAATTGCAGAATGATACCTGCTCATCAGGCCTGCTTTACATGTAACTCATCTTGCATCTCTGACAGGCTCTGCTTCCAGTCCCCTTTTAGGAATGCAACATACAGGAGGAGCTTTTTCTACATACACAGAACTTCTTTTCATTCTCCCTCTCCCCAGTTCAAATGCTGTTGTCCATTTTTGCATTTCATTTCTGTTTTCATTTCTCCTGCTCTTGGACAGCATAATTAGATTACACTAACTACCTAAACTGAAGTCAAGGGCCTAAGTCACCGGCCCTGGGAATAAGTTTTTTGATGGGCCACCTGCAATGGCATCAATAGGTGGTTGTTGGGATTAGCTGCTGAGTTGGCCTTGGGAACCTGCCCTGCAGTTTCACTGTCAGAGAAAACTCATTATTCTTCTCCTCCACCATTTATCTACCCTGGAGTTAACAGAGATGCACGGAGATGTGCCAGCAGAGGATCCTGTCCACCTTTGAAAACAGGAATGGAAACGAGCGATTAAAGCACAGGGGATCAACTTTCCCAGGATTTAAGTCTCAATTGCTATCATTACGCTACATAACCTGTGTGCACTTCAACATCCTTTCCCACAGCTATAGCTACAACATCACCTGCCTACTTCACAGGAGCAACGGGTCGCTTTGCTAAATAGCTACGTGGCAACTGACGCTGCTGGCAGAGAAGCAGCATGTAGAAGCGCATCATTACGTTGGTGGAATGGTAATTGTGAGCAGTTCAAGCAGCCGAGTGCGGACTGACAGGATCACTTTTGTTTAGCAAACAGACTCATTCACCAGAGATCAAGCAGACCTACATTGTAATTTGGCACAGGCTTTAGAAGCGAGCTGGAATGATGGATGAGCCAGCAATCCACATGCCTCGGACAGAGCTGGTATGGGACAGTGCTGCTCTACCTCTCCTACCTCCTAGGAGATCCCTCCTGGGCAGTGGTGGCAGCAGTCCATACCCTTATTGACTCCATTTCCTTATTAATTCCTTTATTGATCTGCTCACTGCGCACCAGGCAGAGAAGGTATTTTCATCTCCTGTACTTCTGACAGTCCTGCCACTGGACTGCAAAGCCTCTTGAGTAGCTCACGTTCTGTGTAATCTGGGCAGTGCGGATCCACCTGGACTCACCCAGAGAGCAGACACCCAATGAGAGGAACCTGAAGGAAACCAGGGAAGCTTGTTGTGTTAGCACTTGAGCTGCTGGCCCACATAGTGCCTGGTAAGGACATTTCACTTAGTGAGTGGTGCTTCAGCTTTCCAGCCCTTCTTCCATTTTCAGGTCAGGCTAGAGGCCAAAAATACCCTGGGCCATCAAAATCTGGTCAGGATATTACAGGAGCTACTTCCTTCTCTCTAATTGTAGAGTAACTGGTCTACAATCAGAGCAGCAACTGCCCAGCTGGAGTCTGTGAGGATGGGTAAACAGCTTGGATGTGAATTCAGTTCTTCGAGGGTCCTCCATTACATGCACCTTCATGTTGCCTGTCCCATATCACAGAATCACAGCATGTCAGGGGTAGGAGGGGACCAGCCCCCCTGCCAGAGCAGGATCACCTACAGTAGGTCACACAGGAACGCGTCCAGATGACTTTTGAAAGTCTCCAGAGAAGGAGACTCCATAACCTCCCTGGGCAGCCTGTTCCAGTGCTCTGTCACCCTTCTAGGGAAAAAGGATTTTCTAATATTTCTGTGGAACCTCCTATCTCCCTCACTTTCTCCACCGCATCAACGCAGCCATCACAGGCAGTCACCTAGCAGAGGCCGCAAGGCCTACACACAACCCCAGGCTTTTCAGAAGGGCTGTATCAGAGAATAAAGCACAGAACTTTATACTTTACACCGTTTGATTGCTTATTACACAGCCCCCAAATAATGTCCCCGTGACAGGGGTGGGAAGAAGGGGTAAAACCAAGGAAAGCGTAAGTGTGGAGAGGTGAGTTGGTGGGACCAAGTAACGCAGCTTCCCAGTGACGAAGGCAGTGGGAGACTCCCAGCTCCCAGCCCGGACTGCCAGCTCAGACAGCGAACAAGCAAGGTGGGGACAGGCACTCACTTTTCAAAAGTGCCAACTAATCCTGAAATTGCAGAAGCAAGCAGAGCACTAGCACCGGTGCCAGTGAGACATCGAGCACCTACGGAAGAGCAACATTGGCTCTGTGTGGCTCCAAGCTCTGACAAGGGCTTCAGATGCTCTATAAACAAAACATTCAAAACAAACTATGCTATCTAATAAAGTTGAGGGAATGTTTGCAATCAGTTATCAAAACAGACTCTTTCTTAATTGAAATACTGCAGAGCAGAAGACAGCATTATAATTATAATAAATGAGTGCTGCTGAGTAGAGAAGAGCAAAACCTTTTGTCAGCAAATCCCATTTACACAAGCAGAAACAATGTCGGTGCAGCTACTCTGTTCACTGCAGGGCTTAGACAATTTTTGTTAGTTCCTCTTCATTTTAACTTGCAGTAGGCTTTTCTGGTAACTTGGAGAAAGTTCAAACACTAACTACATGGACAACTGGAGGGCTGCAAAAACTCGCATCACACTGCCAGCAGCTACATCAGTGAGTTGTATCAAGGAGCAGGTTAAGGGAGGTGTTGATCACTCTGTGAAAAGCAGACTTTTGGTAATGGAATCCTCAGTGGGGCATTTAAAAGTGTAAACAAATCCAATAACTGGAAGCTGACGTTAAACAAATCAGACTAAAAATAAAAGAGGACATTTTCAACAGCCAGTGTAATTAACCTTCAGCATAATTTATCAATGGTTGTGCTGGATTTTCCATTCCTGGAAACATTACAAAATAGGATGGAGGTTTTTCTAAATGACTTCCTAAATACTCAGCTGGTAAAACAGAATAGGGTGCTGCTCAGAAAGCTAAAGACCACTTTCACCCTGGTTCAGGTCTTGCTTAGTGACAATGAACTCCTATTCTCCCAGTTTAACCTCAGTGGGCTGGCAGCTGTTGGAGAGGCTTTGTTATAACCCTGTCAGCTGTCCAAAAGACAAAACGTAGATGTAATTCCTGGAGTTTCCTGCCACACCACGTGTCAGGAAAGAACATTTCTTGCATCTCCTTACGTGTCTTATGGAGCTGAGCTCTGCCCTTGCTGTCCATCCGAACCACTTCTCACCTTGTCTGTCCTTAATGCATAAGCTTTTACTCCCAAAGACATTATGTGCACACTCTCTGTTTACTTTCCCTTACCACACCCCCCACTCTGCCTTGTCCTTGCACTCATTCCCCCGAGGGGCTTGTCCCTTTTCTCCCAAGCCCCCAGAACCAGAAGAGAGAGCTTTGGGGAACTGGGATGACCTGCTTGCTGTTCCAAGCGTTTCCTGGGCAGCGGGGAGCAGCTGACACCCCCGCTGAGCTACACGAACAGCATCGTCCAGAGCAGCGAGCAGAGAGATGCTGCTCACAGGGAGTGATCCCATCCATACATGATCAGGAGGGTCCTTCAGAGACACCACAGGAGATGTCCTGTGTTACAGCCCAACAGTGGGCCCAGATTACCACGCATCTATGTGCAAGGAAATTCAGCCTCCTGCTTCAGCTTCCGCCTGTATAGAACCACAGTAATGATATTTAGCCTGTTACTGCGCAGGAGTGTTTTCAGGATCAATTAGTTTAGTGTTCACACAAAGCTCTGTGGACAGAAGCTTCAATACAAGTAGTAAGTACTATTATTATTATTACTGCACTTCAGATGGCTATAGCACTGGCATTTTCCAGGCACGCACCATTAACAATTTACTAAGATAAATGACCCAGGAACCTGAAAATGCATTTATGACAACTACCTCCTGCTTACTAGCATACTTTCAGCTATATAAATGACACCTCATTGCTCAATGTGTAGCTATGGTAACACTTCTATCTCATATATTGAAGTGTGCACACAGACACGCACACACACACACACATGCACGTGAAGCTGGAGGGAAGCCAGGCTACCTCATTTAATGACACGCAAACACCGAGCCAGGCAACTTTCCCAGCCTCTGAAAGCAGAGCTGTCTCCAGGAGCCAAGGCTGAGGAGCCGGCAACTCACCCCACGTCCAGTGGGCAAGGGTTGGGTTAAGGGCAGACTGCACTACACAGCCATAGGCCCACTGGGCCCTCAAGGGACTTACTTGAGAGCAGTTTTGTAGTGGTAGATCGCCTCAATGTTACGGCCTTGGTCTTTCAGAAAATTGGCGTAGTTGTAGTGGACCTTGGCGTTGTGGGGCAGGGTCTTCACTCCTGAGCTGCGAAGAGGAACAGAAGCAGGGTGGTGACAGCCGCCAGATTATCCCACCTTCCCCGAGGTCCACCTGCTTCTCACGATCCCTTTTTCTGACAAGTTTGTTTGGATTTCAAGCACCTTGTCACCTCCTGCGTGCTCGTGCCAAGACAACTCATGTTACAACCCCAAGCTTGCCCCCAGCACTGGTACACCCTGTGTCCCAGGCGGACATAAATACATGGCAGCAATTCAACTCATCCTGGCTGCTGTCACTGCAGGCACCTCTAGCACCAACACTGCAACACTCCCTGCAGCCAGACACTGTCGTATTTCAAAATCTGAATTATTAAAATCAAAGCCCCTGAAAAGGATGACCTTTAGGATGGAAAGCATGTAGTACTTTCTACAATATAGCCATAACTTAAACTTGAGTGTCATGAAGCGCCTTATGAAAATCTTGATTTAAATCTGTCAGTTGCAGGTACCAGAAATAAGGTACCTTTTCCGTACATATCAGCCACTAGAGGGGATGCATAGCATACTGCGAGTACTGAGCCAGCACGTATGCACTGCTTACCATTGAGCAGAGTATGGCCAGGACGTGAGGGGTAATAGGGTTCTCGCCCTTAGCTGGCAAGTTGTACTCTCTAGTGTTATAACCCACAACTGAGGACACATGGCTGCACAGCTATCCCACCCCTCCCCTTACTCTCCCCTGCCACGTGTAGATGGGACACAACATTTGGAATTAATAATGAGGGCCCAAAGACTAAAGGAGAAAAGCCAGCATATGTTTATTTACTTGAGAGAACAGAAAGCAAGGTACACCTTGTACAGCTAGAGGAAATGCTGTTTCAAGGTTAGACAGAGGAAGAAATCACAGGAGCACGTACGCTGTGGAAACATTTCCCCTGCAAGAATCCAGAGAAGTTAGTACTTTGTTTAATGGGGGAATCCTTCCCAGCACATAAATAGGGTCTCTCTGAGGTAATGGGAAAAAAAGATGGATGAATCTGTTCATGTAAAAGCAGACAAAATGCTGTTTCTTGCTCACAAGCTGATTCCTGCCAGTTGCTCTCTTTTCTCCCTAGATCATCTCTGACCCTCTTACACCAGGTAGAAAAAGCAAGGATTATGAAATTCCCAAGTCTTGTTGCATTGCCTTGTCTGTCTCTCCTGTTTAACTTTGGTGGGAGTTAGTCACAATGAGGCGGGGTCACACACAGCCACTGCCTTAGGATGCACACCCTCTCCCGTGGGGAGAATCCCCTTACAGCTGCAGAAACCCTTTGCTGAGGATTTTACAGCAAAATGGCACTGGGGAATTGTAGTGGCATTTATGATTTCTTTTTGGTTATCTGCAGTCAGTGGTATCGAGCATCGCTAATGCCTACTTGTGAAAGCTTCCAAAGCTTCGCCCACAGCTGTCTCACAGAGTTCAGCACAACACAGCCACGGTTTGCCTACTAAAATTAAAACTACACCTTGCATTTGGCTTCCTAATCATCAGGTATTTCCACATTACTTACTGGGAGCACTACAGGAATAAGACATTTTGTGACTAATCGCTGAATTAAATCAGTTAATTGATGCTATTCTTAAGAGAATGATTTTCTATATTAGTTTTCACAAAGATATACTGCACCAGCAGCAAGTAATGTGTGACTGCTATGGCTGTGTTAATTTCCATTGGCCTTGGGAGCTATTAACTACACACTTACAACCTCTGGGCATTACTGGAATATTAATTCTTATACAGAGAAGGTTTCATTACATCAGCGCCAGCATTACAGGCAGAGACAGGGACAGGCATGCAAAACTGCTGCTCTCTCACAGTTACGTGCGATGAGTTGCTGGCTCTGCTACAGCCCCTACTGAAACAGAACAAACTGAGTTGTTGGTGAGAAGTACTTTACCCGTGCACAAGTACTTCAGCCCTGATGACATACAGTTTTAACAGTAAGACACATACGTTTGAATATTTTAATTCTGGGCTGTTTTCCTTTAAACAAAATTTACTATTAATCTTGCTGGTCCCATTTATTAAAATAGCACTAATAAACCTCCTTTCATATGTGTGCTTCTGCTGGAGGTGGGGAGGTGACATAGGACAGGAAAAATTGGTGGTTTGGATTCTTTGGATGCTCCCTTCCGCATCACACTGCTTTCACTCCCTGACCTATTTATTCTCCTTGCACAGGCGAGGTGGGGAGTGTTTCATTTTGCAAATGCACATAGCAATGACTGAGGCTGCTTGGAGTCTCTGCGCTGTGGGAGGTAGTAGAAAACCAGAGGGGATTTTTTTAGGAGAGTTTAGGCAAACACTCCTGCTAATTGATTCTTGACCAGCCTAGAACACTGTTTGCTCGTGGACAGAGGAAACAATAATGTCCATAATGAAAGCCAAGCAGGAAAAGGTGGAGTATAAATAACAAAGCAGAACACAATGTTTTTCCATTTCTGCTTCCCATAAGCCCCCAGTCTCTCGCAATTTCAATCTAATTTTCCAGTGTGCCTTTCCAAACTCTCTGTTTCCCTCTTCCCCACCTCAGCACACACATGCCCATCTGAAAACCTATGGCACCAGACTGGCTCCAGCCAGAGGCAAGCTCATTAAGATTGGACGTCACTTGTCCAGAGGATTTCCTTCCCTTTTGACTTCTATGACAGCAGTAAACGACATAAATGGAAAATAAACAATAGTCAAGCTCTTTTATGCAACACTTCCTCTCCATGGAAAGGCAAAAGCCTATTAGCCGTAAATCAGAGAAATAAAATAACACTGGTATTTTCCAACCTCAAATACCAGCATTACCCAAATCTCACTTCAGCTGAGAAAAGTCTCCTGTGATCCCCTCCGTTGTTTTCCTAAGTGCACGTTCTGCTCTGCAAAGTGACTGGGTGCAGAGCAGAGGCTTCATTGATTTTCTCTGATTTCCATATGAGAAGTGCTCAGTTTACAAAGAAATGAGGCCACTCCTGCCTCAGCAGGAGCCCTGGGAGACCAATAGGTTCTACTCTGCTTTGGGAGTCATTATCATCAATAAAGGTTCTCTACAGAAAATTATTCTCTGGATGACACAAACAACCGCTTTCCTTGGCCTCCTACCCTTGTATCGATTGCACAGATATCAATGTTGGGCCCTATTAAACTGTTCTATAGAAGACGCATAAAATGCAATAGCATTTGCTCTCCTCAGCTGAGCTTTCAGAATTAACAAAATAATGCAGCGGTAAATGCCACCTTTGGGGCTGGGTTGGTTTTTGCAAATTACTGAAGTCAGCAGACCTGGCTTGGGCAGGAAAACTGCTGACTAAGAAAGTGCCACTTTTACACAGTTCCTGTGCTGGTTAAAAACTGTGTTTCCAGGCACTGTCACAAACATGGGCAGTGGAGGCAGATGCTTTCCAGGAGCAAGAGGAAACATGGCAGCTTGACAAACCTCAAAAAGGTCGCTACGGCGGATACAGAGGTTAGCCCACAGCCCTCACCTCCCTCTCCCCGGCTTCACACATTAGCACTGACCGCAGTTGGAGCCTGAGGAGCCTCACCTCCTGGCCTGTGCATTCGCTCTATAGGGTAATCTCTTAAATATTTAACAAGTAAGACCTCTCTGCCCACCTGCCAATAGAGTAAGACCAACTGTCTGGGGCTTCTAGAGTTCTGTTGGAATAATATGCCTCAAATGTCTACATCTCTATATATCTGACAACGTCTTTCCCTTGTGGTTCATTTGCTTCTCATTTAGTCCTTGCACATATGCTTGTGCACCTATATGCCGACGCATCATTTCCTCAGACAGCAGTATCCTCCCCTGCACTGCTCTTTCCAGCCAGAACCCCACAGGATTTCTGCATCCAGAAGACTTGGCCCCTGGGCTGGAGATTGTGTCAGCATGGCCCAGAGATGGCAACAATGCTGCCGCACAATGTCAAATTGGAGTAAGCCTTGAGTACAGGATAAGATGGGGTGCAAGCTTGTACAAGCTTCTGGGAGATGTTTGTATACTCAGCACAGAGAAAGTGTGTATAACAGAACAGGTCTCAGCCAAGGGAACTGAGACAGATCGACCCTGAGGAAACATATCCAAGCAAATGGAGGAATGGAAAGTAGAGGTGAATGGAAAAAAAGTAAAAGGAGGGGAAAAAAAGCAGTAATTAATTAAAGCAGCAACTGGAGAAAGAAGAATGAACTAAGAATGGGAGTAAAGATTCTCTCAGCACATACTTCTTAAAAAACAACAAACAACCACACACAGAGACTACCAGTTTGATTTATGACTCCTTTCCCACATCTATAGATTTGCTCTGTTTCCTTATTATTTTCTCTCATATTTCTTTACTGTTCTTTATCTCGTCCCACTGCTCTGTCCTAATTTATTGCTGTTGCACATGTCTCCATCCACTTCCCTCTCCTCTCCTCATCAGCCTATATATAAACTCCTCCTTCTGCCCCAAAGAGGAGATCTCCCACTCCTGGGATAATCTTCTTGCTATGATATTCTTCTTTCACATTTCCTTCCCATCAATAAGAAGAGTTCTACCATATTAGATTCATGAGAGATGTATAAACCTATCAAAGATGATCTTAAAAGGACAGCGCAAAGGCCAACATAGTTAAACAGCATAGCAAAGAAGATCGTGAGAAATGGAAAACACCCTTTAAAAAGTGAGCACCACAGCTACAGAAGGAAAAGAGAAAAAGTATAAACTTCAGCAAGTTAAACACAAGCCATAATTAGGCAGAGCAAAAGAGATTTAAGGAAAAACTTACTAAAGTCATCAAAGCTAATAATGGAATACAGATCAGATACAGGAAACCTGCCAAAGACTCCCTAAGGCAAATAGATGATGGAGGTCTAAAAGTAGTGCTTGAAGAAGAAAAGGCCACAGCAGAAAAGCTAAATGGATTATCTGGACCAGTGCTCACCACAGGAAAACTGAAGAAGGTTGCCACACGGGAGCATTTTCTTACAGGGACAAGTCCAAAGCACTGTCTCAAAACAAAGTGGCAGCAAAAGAAGCTTTAAAACAAATCAACACCAATAACAGCTATAAACCCGTTGGGCCTGGTAGCGTGCACCCAAAAGAAATCAAAGGTGAAGCAATTATTAGCTGCAGTATGTAGCCTATCATTTAAATGAGACTGGCACTAGAGAAATGGGAGATGACAAACATGATGTCATTTGGCTGCAGGGGAGGGATCTGGGAAACAGCAGACCAGCAAGTCTGATTTCCACTCTAGTTTGGGAAAAACCGTAATAAAGACTAGTTCTGACAAACTTCTGGATAACTACAATCCAACAGAGAAGAGTTAACCTTGTATTTTGCAGAAAGAAGTTAGCTGGGTGGATCTATTTTTCTTTGGTTGACTCAACAGGTATGTGGTACTGAAACTATGGAAAGCTTTTAGGGAAATTCAAATATAATCCAGTCAGTCAGAAACACATACATCTACATTGTGCACTTTAATGTTCAAAAAGGCTTTTGATAAAGTCCCTTACTAAAGATTTTCAATTTCTTAAAGGCATCATGGAGTAAGAGGGAAGGTCCTCTCCTGAATCAATACCTAGTTGAAAGAAAGCAAGCAAAGAGCACAAGTATGTGAACAGCTTTTTGAACTGGAGAAGATGGCAAGCAGGAATCCCAAGAGTGGCACCTGAGTTGCTTCACATGTTCACACAGGATCTTGAAAAGGGAGCAAAGAGGGAGGCAGGCAACATGTTTGTTGCTAACACTGATGTGAATCACACTACAGGAATCAAAGCTAAATACAATGTGTTGTAAGAGGACCTCACAGTATGATGGGCTGGGCAGCAAGATGGAAGATGAAATGCAATTTGGTATAGGTACAAATATCAGAGTGCGTACACACATATACTCTAAATCTGCATAAATCTACACATAGATTGATGTCTATAAATCAGATGTTTCCACTCACAATAGCTATCTTGGAGTTTGTGTAGACAGTGCTGTGAAAATATCACCCAGTCCTTAGGAGAAATCACAAAAGGCAAATGGAGGACCAGGAATTAGTTGGAGAAGAGAATAAAAACCAGAAAGCGTTCCTACGTTACTGTGCTGCACATGTCTCTTGAAACATGATTCTGGTCCCCTTCTCAAAAGAATGGATTAGAGTTTGAAAGCATCCAGCAAAGACTGACAAGCAGGATCAGAAATGCCGAACAGATTCCATATGAGGAGAGTTCAAAACCAGAAGACTCTAGCATGAAAAGCAGACAGCCTTGGGTGAGGGCATGAGGGTAAAGGCATGGAGAGCAGAGGACAAGTGACAAGGTGATGGTCAGTCACTACTCATTCAGCACATCGGAACTAGGGGACACCAAAAAATACCTTCAGGCAGAAGGCTCACAGCACACAGAAGGGAAATCTTAGCATGCGCACTGTGTAATTCAAAGACAGCCCAGCACACAGGATGCTGTAGAAGCCAAAACTATAAATAGATTCAAAAAAGCAGTCGGAGACATTAATGGAAGAAAAGTCCATCAGTGGCTGTTAAAAGAAAAAAAACACAAGTAATTTCTGACTCAGGAAGTATTTAAACTGCAGATTATTGCAAGCTGGGAATGGGCTGGAGAGAAGCATCACTGTTGCTGGCCCTGTTCTTACATTGCTTTTCTAAGCATCTGCTGCTGATTGCTCTCAGGGGCAGGCCATGATACAAAATGACCCAGCAGGAGCACACCTACATTCTTGCATTTTCATCAAAGGCCCAGAGCAGATGTGTCTCCTGGAACTGTCCCCAAAAACCTGATGTGAAGAGCAAGTCGGTTCAATTCAAGCCACCGAGCCCTGTGTACTACCCTGGGCAAGACCAGATCCCCTTGGGCCAAGGTGTATTAGCTCTAGCTCAGTGCTGCATTGAAGCAGTGGCATAGTTTCTGAATTTTAGCTTGTAGATGGTCACCCTGCTTTGAACTGAGGTAGGATGGACAGAATCATAGAATCATTTAGGTTGGAAAAGACCTTTAAGGTCAAGTCCAACCATTAACCTAGCAATGACAGGTCCACCACTAAACCATGTTCCTAAGCACCTCATCTACATGTCTTTTAAAAACCTCCATGCATCCATTTGCATCCAGCTAAGCAGACTTAACCTTATCCTTCCCTTCTGCAGTAGACCCCCTGGCACTCCATATTATCCCAAAAGTGTTCCTTAATAGGAGGAGATGCCTTCCTGTCACTCACACCAGTTTGACTTCATCGTTCCTAAACACAGCTGTCCACAACTGTATGCAGCGCAATACCAGATGATGCCTGCAACTCGGCATATGGAATTGCCATCTTTCCACCCCCCTTTAAACAAAAGAGGCATCCAACTTGGAGAGGCATCTGGCTTTCTTCCGAAAGGCCACAGTTAGCCAGAAGGGTTTGGACTGGAGGTGTGCTTCACAGAGATTGCTGCGTGAGCCCAGACCAGTCACCATGGCTGCTACTGTTTGAACAGCAAACAGCATTTCAGGGAGGCAGGCAATGAGGCACATCAGAGTGAAGAAACCCCTATTCCAGATTTTTCTGAATAAAATTCCACTAATAGAGCTCCAACCACTTCAATAGTGTTTCCTGAAGACCAAAGGGTACACATAAAAAATAGTTTCATACTCTGTAGTGCTGTGTAAATTAAACTTTGCTCTGGCCAATAAGTTAGAAAATAAAGCTAAGCAACCCGTGTGCAGATCACCTGCGTTTCTGCAATTACTTCACAATTAGACAACTGCTGAAAGCAGCTGGAGGCAAATGCAATACATTTGCTAGCAAAATACAAAATGAAACAGTCTGTTTCTGTGCAAAAAAATATATAAATGAGGTTGTAAAGATAGCTGTTTGGCAAAGAATAATCAAATAAAATGAAATATGGTACATTAAGTTTGGCACTTCATGGCATTTCATTTTTGTCGTTAAGAACATCACTAAAGAAAATTCAACCTACTCAATAGCGTTACTATGGTGTTCTGAAGAGTTGCAAGGAACTTTCAATACATCTTTGAAAAGGAAAGTGTTACATTATTGGTAAATCTAGAGAACTAAAGTTATTTAAAAACAGCATGTCTTCAAAATGCAATTTCCAGAACCAAAGTTTGTGCATAAGCATATAAAGTGCTGACACCAGTTTTTGCACAGTGCCAGAAAGCAAAAAGTAGGTGTTATTTTATAATAATCAAAATGTTAATCACAGCAATGCGTCAACAGTAGGACTTGTGCTAAAGAAAACTATTCTGTGTGACAAACTTATTTCAAACAATAAAAAAATTCATCTATTCTCCCATGGTCACTCATACCTGAAAAGGGATTCTCGTGACAGCCAGATTTCATTCTGTTTCACGGTCTTCCAAGAGAAGAGCAGCAGCAGTAAAACAAAGAGGGTCAGAACAGTAATTCTCCACTTATTTAACCATGCAGACAGCTTTTTTAGACCGTGGACAAAAAGGATGCAGTACCCCATACTGGAAAGGAAAAAAAAAAAAGGAAAAGTAACAAAAGTTATATTCCAGTACTCTGGTTTATACTCCAGACCATTTAGTATTGCATTTATTACACAATTACAGGGTTTTTTGGATTAATGATATTTTCTGGGCTAACAAACTCCAATTCAAAGCAGTTTTTCTCAAGTCACTACGCAATTTCCAAATTAATCTAAACGACAGACCCAGATGCCAGAAGTACAGTAGCGTACATAATACCACCCAGCATAATGGTAGCTTACACCAGCCCACGGAAGGCAGCTGCTTTTCTGAACAGCAAGCTGAGAAAGCATCATGTAATAACAGTAATACTGAGCGCTACTGGAGCAGCATGGAAGTGAAAAGCATTGTAATACAGGGAAGCCTCTCAACAACCCCAGTGGTGGCCGCTAGTTTACAAATTGAGAAGCTGAGGCAGAAGAGCCAGTGTTGTAGCCAACACCGCAGCAGGAGCGGGTGACAGAGGCCACTTCAAAAGGCAGGAGGTCCTGCCCAGGTCTTGCACATCTGCCCAGGGGATAGCCCGTCCCTTCTAGTGCCTGGTACAATAGCCAAGACGTGCTAGCAGAGCTTCCTCACTGCCCTTCCACGAAATCACACACAGTCATCTTCAGTGTCTGGCCTCCCAGCACTTTCATGGATTTCTGTGCTTGACTACTGAGGCATTTTCTGTGAAGTAAACTGCATTTTGAAATGAAGTCTCATTCCTGTATAACTTTAAATCAATTTAGTAATTATTTACCCTAATTCAAGTGTTACGTTAGTTCTTCCAATGATACCCCTCTGAGGTGGAAGTGGAGTGCTTTTGGTTGCTGTATTTAGCATGCCGTTAACTCTACTTGGCATTTTTAGGAAAGATTTTCAATCCCTATTGCTTGAGGAATTTCATTAGCTTATCTGTAACTCTTCACTATAGTTACTTAGCACCTGATTTAGTTTTACACTTAAAAGCTATCTCGGTCCAGGCAGCTCTGCAGAAGAATCTGGAGTGACATTTGGGGACCACCAATACATAGGGACCAAAGAGCAGCCCTCCCCAGACACTGGCACACCTCAAAGCCCAGCTGGATCCCACACTTGAACACAGGCAGGCTGGAGGTAGACAGCTCACCGCACCTGCCTGGGCTCCAGCTGCAGATCTACAGGCTTTTCTGGTTTGTACCAAGCCATCTGAGTAACTTCCCAGTGAAATTGCTACGAGATAAGAAAAACTAGACAACACAATTACCCTGTCAGAGGTGACCTTGCAAGCAAGCATGTGATATGGCAAAAGTCAACCTGTAAATCAGAAAAAAAAAGTTCCATCTTTGAGGAGATGTGAGAGTGCTTCTTGGCATGATTTCTCGGCCCTCTTGGAGGGCTGGGCACATTGCTACTGCCTGGGCTTCCTAAGGACGGAGAAGGACAATAATTCTTGCTTCTACAGGGGAAAATTGCTTCTGTTGTACGTATTGCTCAGCATCAGGCAGCGGTGCTGTCCCTGGCACCGTACAGGTACCACGTAGGACACAGAGAAGTACAGACATAGGGGGCAAATCCAGAGACATCAGATCTGACAATAATTCAAAACTTCTTCATTGTTGTTTTTGAGTTCTCTTGTTTTTAAGAAGTGGGTATCAATTTTTATTTTCTTTTTCTCTTAACTATGCTTGCGTTTTGCTGCAACACATTTCTTACAGCGCTCTCACTGCTTTTTTCCACAAATTCCTTTGCACACATATGTTTATTGCAGCTACATTAACTTCAAGCAGACATTCAGAGCTAAAAACTGAGATGCTGGTGCCAAACAATCCACCCCTTATAGCTATCGAACCCCACTTTAAAACTTCTGAAAAGCTAATCTCCATAATAAGCCCTCCTTTTCTAATAAGAAATTCCTCAAAACCATGCAGATGGTTTTCACTCTGTTATTTTGCCTTTCAGTCATTTCATCCTTCCGCTGGAATTAATTATCTGGCATAAACATTATTTAATTGCTTTAGCACAAGGCCATTTTCAAAGGAATTTACCTACACCTTCACATTCTCAAGAAAAAGCCTTTTCTAACAGAATCGTGAATGCATCCAGAAAGCAAAAAATGCAAATGTCAATGTCTTGGTATTTATGTGAAACTCTGCCCCAACTGTTGGGAATTTCTGCCTTGGCAGCAGCACTCATTCTGCTTGTCCAGGGCGCTGCCAGCACCATGTTGTAGCTTACACAGCCACTGGAAAGGTGCTGCCTCCAGAGGCTATTCTCGAACATATAACTATAGAGACCTTTAGGTTGGAAAAGACCTTTAATATCATTGAGATCAACCATTAATATAACATTGCCAGGTCTACCACTAAACCATGTCACAACAGCACATCTGCAGGTCTTTTAAATAGCTCCAGGGCTGGCCTGTTCCAGTGCTTGACAACCCTTCTGGTGAAGAAAATTTTATTAATGCCCAGTTTAAACCTCCCCTGGCATGACTTGAGGCCGTTTCCTCTTGTCCCATTGCTTGTCACATGGGAGAATACTAAGCCCTGGGGAACATCACCTGCGACCGGCCCGCCACCATCTGCAGAGTATTGCCACAATAGTTACAGAGAGATGCTGGGTGCTACAGAGGAGTAAGGGCTCATCTCAGACTGTAGTCCTCATCCCAGCTGCCCTGGCAATGACACAGCGCAGGTACACAGCAGAGCTCAGCTCCACGTGGCACTTTCCAGCACAGGCTCTCAAAGTGCTTTGCAAGGGAGGCCTGCTGCAATTTTCCTCTAACAGAGCTGGAATCTGAAACATGGCAATAAAGTGATTTGCTCTGCTGACAGAGGACTGGAAAACAAGGCAATGAAGCCACAGTCCATGGCTCTACTCACAACACAAGGAGGCACGTGATGGAAACCAAAGTATCTTGCTAAAAAGCCCATGGGACTCTCTGAGAGAGAGCCAAGGGCAGGCTCTACACATGCACATCCAACAAGGCAGCAAGACCACAAGATTCAGCAGTAAATACAAATATCAAAGGGAATGGGTTCCCAAATGGCTGCTGGAAGGGGACTGCATAGCTAACATCATCAGCATTCCAAACCGCAAAGCTGCTAAAGGTAAGGTTAAAGGAGCGATGCTAAAGAGGGAAGGTTTGAAGCATGATTTACACTTTAATAACATAAGAGACAATTGTGACAACATTAGGACTGAATTGTAGTTGTGCCAACTAGCCTCCAGTCAGTGTGCCTGCACTATAAAGTACATGGGAACCTGAAAGAAATAAAAGGAAGGAAAAGAATCAGAAAGCATGAAGTAGGTGAATGCTCCTACTTTAAGAACCTGCTAAGCTTGGCTTAAAAATTCAGACAATTCCCTGCCATGAATTATCAAGGAAACGGTGGGGAGGACACACCCACATTATCTTGTCAAGGACATTTTGGTGCACATGTCAGGTGGACCCATATCTTTTTGCATGGATTTTTTTAAGAGTCATTTTTTAAGGTCATTTCAAGCCCATCCCCTGACTGAGGACAGGTGTTACATTCCTGACTGCAGTTCTTTTGCAGGCCAAGGACTTCTAGAAGCATAGAAAGCACTCGCATATCCTTTGCCACCAGGAAACATGTGCATTTGTCATTTCATGCCACAAATTGTTTGCAAAACAACAATTCTCTGCAACATCCCCAGAGCTACTATCCTTAGTAATTTTTGCATCCCTTTGCATTTCTACCTTAAGGCCAAATAATTATGGTGAAATCAGGGCAAATCCAGATCCTTCCACCCAGACTCCACGGTCTGCCCTAAATAAAACAAAAAAGTGTTCACACCAATGTATTCAGGATCTGTGAAAAACTATACTAGTATTGTTTCCTAGTCCCAAACCCACATAATCCCTCACACCTTACAACACATTTGTTTCACACCATATTCAACAGTCCAGGGACAGAAATTAGCTTTAATACAGAGACCGTGACGTTTTGAACCAGCAAAGCACAAAGCTTGCTGAGATGGTGTTGCTGCAGCAGCAACATATCCTGACAGTCACTGGACCTGGAGAGCCTTCCTGCAGTGATTCACCTGCAAGAGGTAAGCTCATCCCATTTCCCTTGATGCTGACCTCACCAAGGCTTCAGATACGTGTTTGAAGCTGCCCTGAGCTTTAGCAAGGCAGCAGCAGCCCAAGCATCGGTACCATGGTGGGAAGAGCCCATACAGGTGAGACTGCACTTATCTGATTAAAGTGACTTGCCAGGTGACTATAAGGCATCTCCTATGTGGTTAACTCTGCTGTGACCCTGCCATCACCTACAAACACAAGGAACATTTGAAATACATTAGCTTTTCTTCTCAGAGTGCCAGGGGACTTGACTCCATATCAAACATTAGCGCTGGCTCGACAGGAAATCAGATTTTACTCACGCGCATTTAGAGGAGAAAAAAAAAAGAAAATGTCTCAAAAGCACCCTTCATCAAAGACTCATTTGCCACTTCAAAAAATTACTCTAAATACAACATTCCAGACATCTCCATAGCCATCTGCATATGTATGGAGGCTGCAGGGTTGTGGGCCTGGGGTTTGATTAGTTTTTTGGTTAATTCTACCATTTCCTGGGGAGAGGAAGGGACAGGACCATTTCTGCTGAAGGGCTTTTGTCTTGGCATTATCACCCCCTGTCATGCAAATACTTTTCTAAAATACATCGTAGCCAAAACAAAAACAATGGGAAACAAGCAAAATCCCCAACCCACCATTATTTGTTAAATCCATTTTCCACTAGATTACTGTAAAACCGCTAAGCTTTTTTTTTTTTTTTTTAAAACTCTGTAGGATAAGCAACAGCCTGCTCCTCCCTGCTGTGAAAAGTCCATGCCATCTTGGTCTCTGTGGTCAGATGTGAAGCAGGACCTGAAGAACAGCCCAACAGGTTAACATGGTAATAGCTTTTCTGTGGGCTCACAATGAGAACCCTTATTATAAGAAAACTTGAGGCTTCGGAAATTCAGTGGCACAGCAGTAGAGCTCA